AAAAAAAAGGCAGTTCCATGCCCAACTAATCCATAATTAGTAAAGCAACAGAACAGTATTAGAATCTCAAAGTACTCTATTTATACAGGGTCAGACCACAAACATGACGGACACTGGAAAACCTCCATGTGTATTTCTGTGTGACTGCAGAAAAATGTAAATGGATAGCCAGTCCTCAATGTCTGAGTGCAGTAGGCCAGAGGGGCTTCACAACACTTGTGCCCTCGTCTTTTTATAAATACCTGAGACTTAAGAAATAAGAGACTTTCACTATCTTAGAAATGTGTAGGCGAGAAGACCATTCTTAACCTATTTACAAAAACATAAAGTCCACTTCTGTGTGTCACCGGACTGTTTTGTATTGATTAATAGTATGAAGTCAAATATTTACAACCCATATTTACAACCCATTTAAACGCAGCACGCAGGCTTATGTAATGAGATTTTTTGTTTTTCTCTCAGGAACTCATGAATAATCAATTTGCAGATGCACCGCGCAACTACTTCTGTTTTAAATTATTTTTAATAATCCGTGACTGACCCGAAGTCAGCGGGAGCATTCGAGGACACTTCCGAAGACCCTGCTGTGCTTACTACAGAAACATGAAGTAGTGGATATACGATCAGGTTGTGCTGAGCAGCCAGGGCCTGAAATAAACACCTGCCCAGAATAAAACACGCTGTTCACATTATTAATAGACATTTTTTCACGGAAATATCTTCCTAAAGGTTTTTTAGCAGTTTGTGTATTGAATCCAATATAATCGTGACGTAAACAGCATTCATGAGTCATCCCACAAACTGTGATGAAGCTGAAATGATCATCCAGGAGAAGTATAGAGACGTTTAGGTGCCATGGGGAGTTTCCTAATAACAGTGGTAAGCATGTATGGTGTTTATGTGATAGACAGTAATTCTAAACGGGATATTTGAAAGTGACATGTTGAGGTCATTGATTGGTCACAGGGGCTCCAAACAATCAGGTTAACTCTATAAAGATGATCTGTATCACTCAGTGAATTAAAGACTATTATTCATAAATCTAATGATACATTACCAATAGAATGTGATATCTTGCAGTCTAGAGTCAGAGAGCCAGAGTGACTGCACACAACTAACTTATGCAACTAAAAAAAACCAACAGATATTCAGCTTTAACAACCATGAAAACCTTTTCACTCGCAAATATGAGAGATGCGAGTAAATCCAAATTAATCCAAAAAACGGATCATGACAGTGAATCTGTCAACAGCTGCAGTACAGTAGATACTGATGTCAGAGCTTGTGGTGTAAGATGCTAATGTATTTTAGTTCTTAGGCACAATAACATGCTGAAATGTGGAATCACCTCAACATAAGACCTGGTCCATGCGTTGGTGAGCTGGTTCATGTCCACGTCTCCCAACGCGAGTCTTTGCAGGGCCAGCTCGGCCTCTCTGTCATAATCCAGGATGGCCTCACTCTCAACGAAGTTGGAAAGGGAGGTTTTTAGCTCTGCAGGAAGAGGTGAAAACACAGCAAAAAAAACAATCATTTTAATGTTTTAATTTCTGTGCAAGCAGAGTATTACATTGCAAAATCAGTGGGCTAGCTCCATTCCATCCGTTTAGGTTTCAGACTGACAGCATGCATTCTGACACTTTATTCCCATGAAGACATGGAGGGAGATATTAATGGAATAGATTCATCTCAAATAAACAGAGTATGAGGTTTCTTGTAGATTTGGTTGACACGAGTTTAAATCAAGATGTTTGAAATACCATTTTAACAGTCACTAGTCAAGTGCTCGTGTGTTTTGAGTATATTGTGACAAATTTGGTCACTTGAAAATAAGAATTCAGAAATATTTTAAAGACTTGTTGATTTCCTTTAAAAGACAATGTGGAGGGGGCTTGCGATCTACAGCGCCTGGCTGGAGAGCTTCCTGCAAGATCACAAACAGCCCCCTGACAGGTTTTCACATTCAAATGCGTGTGTTTAGTCAATATCATATGACTAATGTCAGGGTTGGGGCGACAGCTGCAGTTATGGTCTGAAAACCCTGGTTAGGAAAGCGATTCAGGGATTGCCTCAGAAATGCAAACGGTAAAGAGACATTAGAATTTCACTTGACGAAGTCGACTCCGCCCGTCTCACCATTCTCTATGTAGCAGGGTATTTTATGCAGCAGCATCAGGCGTCCATGGAGGTCACAGATGTTGTCTTGAGCAGGAAACTGCAGAGGCACCTTGAGGACACAGTTGTGTTTCCCTGCCCTGAACTCAAACACAAACTCCTTCTCAGCAGCGCTGTTCACTTTGCTTTTGTTCTTCTTCATGGTTGCGTCTGAAAAAAATATATATAAATATATATAGAAGGCGATAGTTAAATGTATGAAGGTAATAGTCTGAGAGTCACATGGGCTATTAATAGGCAAAGAAACAGAAAATGAAGTCCATCATCAGCACGGATCGTCATTCTCACTGACATATTGTCCAACATGTGAAATAAGCAAAGTTAACCATCTTACACAGCAGAGAAAGCAGCGTTCCTATACAGCACATGCAACACGCTGGGTTCAGGACTTCTTAATGAATACATTGTTAAACTGTTACTGGCAAAGGATGTGTGTTTCTCGGTTTCTCATTATGTGTAATAGCTCATCACTGTTAAAAGTCAGCTAACGTTACTGTTATTAACAATAACGTTATTGTTGCTCCATGCTAGCTAGCAGTGTAGCTGAAGCTAAAAACAATAAATAAATAAAAAGAGGCAGCCTGTCGTGGACATGTCTAGCTGAGCATCGCTGCTTGCTTTACTTTGGTGAACGTATACATATCGTAAGCGGCGGATTTACCTGAGAATGAATACGGTGTTCCCTGCTGCAGAGACGGCGGGGGCGCTCCTGTCAGGTGCAGTCAGCTGACCGCTTCAGAGTCGTTAGCGGTGTTGCAGCAGAAGCACTTTCGCGACAAGACGTTCAGTTGTTTATAGATTTGTTTTCAGTTGTTCATCAGAACTGCTATGGGATGTGTCTGAAAGCTTAATTGTTTGGCCAATCGTAGATATTTTATTCTGGGTTGTTCTCTTTCCCGTACAAAGCAGATTTACAGAGCCACGAATCTAATGAATGACCCCGAAACTTAATTTACAAGAGCGTTTTTCCTTTGGCGCTACCGCCCCCTGCTGGCCAACGATGATGCAACCAGTATTGAATGGTCTTGTTGTTCAAAGAGGAATCAAATTGGAAAATGTAGAAAATATACTGTTAAACAATCCATTTTTGAAATAACTTATGGTGGAACTCTATGAAAATCATTGTGGAGGTGGGACCAGTGGCCCTCGTTTCAGTAATAACAAATAATACCCGGCAATGAATAATTATGATAGATAATACTGCGAATTAATATTAAATCACTCATATTTTGTTACCTCCTAATGAGGTTTCATAACTTTACTCCATAATCTCGGTTGGTTCCTGATCACCACTTCTATTATGCAGCCCACTTAAGACAGAATAGACGATTGTAAAGCATTTAATTCGAAGAAAAGCCACTAGATCCAAGTTTGCCAAATCACTTCCTCTACCCGCCATTTAATTAAAGAAAATGGAACTTTTTAAGGTTGGTACTCACTTATTTTAAGTAGATCAAATGTTTGTATTTGTTTGTTTGTATAACTTGATATTATATATATAATATAATAACTCTACAAGCAACAACTACTGAAGTAAGTTAACTATTTGGAAACCAGACTGTATTTATAATGATTTCTCATTTTTCGGTTTGTATTGCCCGTTTTAAAATGATTTCACAGGTAAAAAGGACTGGGTGGACAACCATCTGTCTGATATAACTGATTAAATAAATCAAGTCATTTTGAGACATAAATAACCTTATTATGAAATAACCACATGGTCAAGTATAATTTTGTATACTCCTGTGACTTCAATAAA